GGAGCAGGAAAGCTGACGCTTCGGGTCTGGACCCTTCTTCAGAAATTTTCTGAAGAAGATTCATTTTCTGAAGAAGGGTCCAGACCCGAAGCGTCGGCTTTCCTGCTCCTCTGATGCTGCTTGGCCTGCTGTGTTCATCCAGCTCTACACCTTGTTATCTCAGATTCTCCAGCATCGGCAGTTCCTACTAGCTCTGAATGGAATCTTGTTTATTGTTTGGGTTGACTGAAGGGAAAATTCAGCTGCTGCAAATATACAGATTAACCAAATTGAGCTAAACTTTCTGAGAAGAATTTTGCCTTTTGAAATTAAAGATATTACCAATCAAATTAAGAAATATGGTTCTAGGCTAATATTGTATGTCATTTGCTTCAAAATACAACTTGCATCAAGATTTCCAACAATCTATCAAACACTGTCAAACAGACATTATGCCAACAAAAACGAATACAAAACGAATACACAGGTTTTCAAGGAACTATCAGATCAGTTATGATTAATAGAAGGCTTTATTTCTTGACAATCTTTTCAATCTCCCTTTAATGTCCATCAAAAGAGGTGCATCAGCCAACATACAGGAACTGGGGAAGCAAATCAGAATGCGATTATGGAGCTACTGCACTTCAGAATTGGGAATGCATCTTCCATGCTGTATTTTGAGTATATTGTTTGTGAAGGTTTCAGGGAACTTATCATTTGCAACTGAAATAAGCACATCCAATTTTTGCTAAAACTTGGTCTCTTATTTGACAATAGCCACTCAAAAACAAACTTTTAATTTCACCAACCTGATAGCAGGTATTGCCTGTTCTTGTAATGAGCTGGTAGAAACACGAGAATCATTTCTCTCAGAAAGAGTGCTAGAAACAGCAAGAATACGAACATCGTTGTTTTGATCAATGCTTCCACTAACTGCTGCTTGACTCTTTTCCGTTGATAACAACAGATTACAATCGGAGTAATTTGATTGCTGTTTTAAAGTGGTGGGTTCTGGGATTCAAAGTAAAAAAAAAAGTCAAATTTCAGTCTTCGAAAATGTAATACGGATTTCTAGTATTTACACATTTCTTATCAATTCAAAATTTATGCTCTGTGTTTTCTCAAGTTCAGAAACGAATATGAATGCTATTATTCAAGTTAAAATTAAAAGTGACATGACTACTTACCAACTGTAACAGAACGTAGTTTGTCAAGGACACCATGCAGCCTAAATAAAAACAGTATGTTAAACTTGCAGTATGTATTTTACTAATACACCCTTCTCTTTAAATCCTTCCATCCAGTATTAAAAGATAGAAGTGCATTACGTAGAAGAAAAAAAGTATCTAAGTCTTAATTGTTGCATGAAAAGTAAACTTACCATGCAGTAAATTTGACAGTGTTATTTCCCAGAAAAAGAGCAAGATCTTCTGCCATTTGGTCTTGGGTCTTTTTGTTGGCTACCATAACCATGATATAATCGGGTAGCTCTTCATCTATAAAGAGGAATGATAAAAATTAACTATTTTTGCTTCTAACGTTAAGAGAAAAAAATTCAGCACTCTGTACAGGAAGGAAATGTTTTTATCCATTGGAAGAAATGTCATTCCATTTGCTCCTAAAGCCTACTGACATCTGTAGTAAATTTTGTGGTGTCTGTAATATCCATTGTGATCAAGTTCAGTTCTACTCTTCACAGGAAAACCAGAAGACACAGACCGGAAGACGTTCATTTAAAGCTTCATCTAAAAGCCATACACTCCACCTTCAAAATAAATAATTTCAGAAAGCATAGGGGAAAAAATATAAGATTTTAAAATCAATTTTAAAAACTCTTATATTAAGTATCTGCATTCCTACCACATCAAGTCATATGAGCTTCTCACTGGAGGAGGCCGAGACGCGTCGCTCACATGGCAGTTCCAGTTGAAGACTGCTGCCTTGTTCGTTTCCCCCTTATGTGAAGAGTTACACCAACATTGAGAATAAGGATTTTTTTGGAGCCGCCTCACTGGAGGAGGCGGCTCCATAAATATCCTTATTCTCAATGATGGAGGAACTTGGCACATCAGTGCAAAACGAACAAGGCAGCAATCTTCAACTAGAACTTCCATGTGGGCGACGCGTCTCAGCCTCCTCCAGTGGTGCCCTGCATCACAGATACCAATGTTCAGCCAAGTCAATTCATTCCACATTATATCAAGAAACAGACAGAGGCACTGGACAATGCAGTGGCCAGGGGCGCAGCAACATTCTGGCAATAATTCTGAAGACGTTTGCTCAAGAACTTATCATTCCCCTAGCCAAGCTGATCCAGTGCAGTTACAACATTGGCATCTACCTAACAGTGTCAAAAATTGCCCAAGTATGTCCTGTACACAAAAAGGAAGTCAAATTTAACCCAGCCAATTACCACCCAATCAGCCTGCTCACGATCATCAGTAAAGTGATGGAAGGCGTCATCACCAGAACTACCAAGCAACACCTGCTCAGTGATGCCCAGTTTGGGTTCTCAGGGCTATTCAGCTCCTAACCTGGTTCAAATATGGACAAAAGCAGTGAATTCCAAAAGTGAGGTGAGAGTGACAGCCCTTAACATTGAAGACCTTTTGACTGAGTGTCAAGGAGCCCTAGCAAAAGTGGAATCAATGGGAATTAGGGAGCAAACTCTCCAGCGGTTGGAATAAAAACTGGCACATGGGAAAATGGTTGTGGTTGTTCCAGGTCAGTCATCTCAGCTCCAGCACATCTCTGCAAGAGTTCCTTGGGTTTGTGTCCTAGGCCCAACCATCTTCAGCTGCTTCCATAAGTGATCTTCCCTCCTTCACAAGGTCAAAAGGGAGGATAGTTTCTGATGATTGCACCATGTTCAACACTATTTGCAACTCCTCAGATACTGAAGCAGTTCATATTCAAATTCAAGATCTGGACAATATCCAGGCTTGGGCTGACAAGTGACACGTAACGTTTGCACCACATAAATGCCAGACAATGACATTGCCAATAAGAGACAATCTAAGCACTGCCCCATTATGTTCAATGGTGTTACCACCACTGAATCCCTCACTATCAACATCCTGGGGGTTAGCATTGACAAGAAAGTCACACAAATAGAGCTATAGAGCAGGTCAGAGGCTAGGAATACCGCAGCAATTAACTGACCTCCTGACTCTGTAATGCCTGCCTACAAGGCACAGGTCAGGAGTGTGATGCGATATTCCCCACTTGCCTGGATGGGCGCAGCTCCAACAATACTGAAGAAGCACAATACCATCCACAACAAAGTAGTTTACTTGACTGGCAATACATCCACAAGCATCCACTGCTCTACTACTGACTCTCAGCAGTGTGTACGGTCTACAAAGATGCATTGCAGAAATTCACCAAAGATCCTCAGACAGCACCTTCCAATTAGCAGGACGAGGGGAGCAGATACATGGGAACAGCATCACCTTCAAGATCCCCTCCAAGCCACTCACCATCCTGACTTGGAAATATATCACAGTTCTTTCACTGTCACTGGGTCAAAATACTGGAATTCCCTTCCTAAAGGCATTGAGAGTCTGCTAAGATGGTAGTTCACGATGACTTCACAAAGACGGTATGGAGGGATTACCTTACGAGCAAAAGCTAAATGTTTAGGCTCTACTCATTGATGTTTAGAAGAATGAGACGTGATTTCATTGAAACATATAGGATTCTTAAGGGGCTTGACAGAGTAAATGCTGAGAAGGTGTTCCCCCTCATGGAAGAATCTAGAACCACAGGGACATAATATCAGAACAAAGGGGCACCTATTTAAGACTGAGAGGACGAAAAAAATTCTCTCTCGGAGGATGAAGAGTCTTTGGAACACCTTGCCACAGAATGTCACGGAGCAGAGTCCTAGTGTATATTTAGGGCTGAGATAGATTTTTGATCAGTAGGGGAAATCAAAGGTTACAGGGAAAACTCAGGAGTACACGAGAAATGTTTGCTTAGCCATGATCCTATTGAATGCCAGAGCAAACTCGAGGAGCCAAATGGCCTACTTCTGTTCCTATTTCTTATGGTCTTATAGTTGTGATAACTGCAACATATTACATAAACAATAAGAAAATATACCAAACCTTCTATGGTACAAGTTTGCAGGGAAAAGTGCATACAGTATTTATGACCCTAGAATTAAATTTTAACACAAGAAAAAAAAAACACGTTCTGCTGGGATGTTCCTTCAAAATTATGTAACTGTAGAATTGTACTGTTTGAGAATATACACTGTAATTAACAGCTTTGATAGAAAGTTTGAACAACATACCTGCATAAGCCCCAAGTTCCTGCAGCTTTCCCTTAATGGCAGTCTGAAAGTTAAATGCAGATTAATTTGAGTAGATCAAACACTAAACCAGAAATTTAAAAATTCTACCAAATAATATTCAGGTTAAAAGTATTCAATTTGTATCTATAAAAAGCCTACAATAGTTAAAATATCTCAGGGAATTTCACGGGAGAATTATGAAATAAAATTCAACACTGAGCTGTGCAAGGAGATATTAGAACAAATTGCCAAAATTTTGGTCAATATCTTCCCATGTAATGTGCATTCCCTTGCTTTGAAGCAACTCCCAAAACTGCCTCTCGGTTCTCTGAATTCCATTTTTTGACCTTTCTGCCCAATTGATTTGACCGCTAAAACCTTCCTGCAGTCTTCTACAACACTTTTTCAGTAAATTTCTGTATCATCAAGCAACATTATCAAGAACCTACATTTCAATAGAAATTAATAATATAACCTACAAAAAAAATCAAGTGGATCCAACACAGTTATTTTAAAAGCAAAACTGTAATTACATTTGCAGATAATGCCAAACTGGAACAGGCAGTGGAATTGGAGGAGACAGCTTGAGAACTAAATGAGTTTTAAAAACACCCTTCCACCACTTTTCTTTGTTTCCTGATACCAAAACAATTCTGAATCCTATTTGTCATTTTCCTTTGGACTCCCAAGGGCTTTTACATTTTTGATCAGACTGCCATGTGGGGACTTGTCAGGTGCCTTGCGAAAATCCATGTAAACCACAGCCATAACACGTAGCCCTAATCATCCTTACTGGTCGCCTCCTCAAAAAATTCAATTAAATTAATCAGATTATGGCATTCCCTTAAGAAGTACATGCTAACTTTAATCTATTCCTTTCCAAATAAAGATGTACATCTTCCCTCAGAACTGGTTCCAATAATTTGCCCACAACCAAAATTAAGCTAACCGGTTTAAGTTTTATTTAAATTGATTTTTCCTTTCTTGCTTTTATAAGCAACAGTATTGTGCTGGTAAGTCTCTACTTCTCTACTAACACTCCAGCAGCCAGGAAAAATTGAAAAATTATGGTACAACGTTGTATAATTTTCTTCCTTGCTTCTTTTAACAAGCTAGGATATATATATGTGGATATAGGATATTTGGGGAGGCAATGGCCTAGTGGTATTATTGCTGGACTGTTAATACAGAGACCCAGATAACGTTCTGGGGACCCGGGTTCGAATTCCACTATAGCAGATGGTGGAATTTGAATTCAATAAAAAAGAAGTCTGGAATTAACAGTCTAATGATGACCATGAATCCATTGTCGATTGACTGAAAAACCCATCTGGTTTACTAATGCCCTTTAGGGAAGGAAACTGCCATCCTTACCTGGTCTGGCCTTCATGTGACTCCAGACCCACAGCAATGTGATTGACTCTGAACTGCCCTCTGGGCAATTAGGGATGGGCAATGAATGCTGCTTAGCCAGCAATGCTCTCATCCCATGAATGAATATCAAAAAAATTCAACCAGACTTGGTGATTATCTATGTTTAAAGATGTTAAACCTTCTTCACCATGTTTATTCCATCTAATATTTCATGTTTCTTCTGCTTAACAACGTCTGCCTGTCCCTCTCTTTTGTGAGAAGAGACCTGAAATATTCAGCAAGATCTTTCTCCTTCATACGCAGGTTAGCCTTTTGGTCTCTAAAAGGCCCTATTCTTCCCATTGTTACTTTATTGCTCCAAACATACAGATAAAACATCTTCAGATTTTTCTCAGTTTTACCCATCAGTATTCTCAAGATGCATTGTTTTCCTAATTTCCTTTTTAGCTTCAACCCTACAATTTAATGATTTGAATTCAGAAAAAGGTGCAAACTGATAAAATTTTGTAAACAGTACCAAATTGAAACAAGCGTTCGAACTGAAGGAGACAATAATTAAATGAGTTGGAAACTACATTTAAAAGTACTGCTGAAAAAAGACATGCTGCCTTGCCTTGCGCTCAAGTGGGCAAACGTAGGGATACAAAATTTAAGTGCATCATAATAATTTATACCACATAATAAGAAGAGGAGATGATTAGCTGGCAAGTCGACTCTAATTAACTGAGGCATTGCCATGGAGAAAATAAAAAGCAATTACATATTGAACGTACGTCTAGATAATTCAAAAATGGCCCATCCTTTGCCATTAGGAAGTCTGTGTCGTTACCTCTTCCTGTCCTCTGCTCCCGTTACCTTCCTTCATCCTATGATAGCAAATTTGCGCATTTTGGTTGCTATATCCGAGTAAGTAATTTTATATCTTGTCCCAATTATTCCAACCATAGTCAGATCACAAAGTGTACCTTTCAACCAACAACATTGCCTTTTCAAGACAGAGTTTGCATGCACTCATGCAGTTATGTTGGCAGCAATTCAAAAAAAGGTACAAAACCATTCATTATGTTTGCATAGAACAGGTCTAGCAACCATTGAATGGGTTTCTAGCAACCATAAATAAGCTTGTGGTATAAATTCCTGTGATTGTTTGAAAATTGCCATTTGTCTAATAAAAGCAAGATGAAAGCCTGGGAAACAGGTCTCTTTTCAGTGATATTCAAATTCTACCATGTGACTGTAAATATACAGGTAACATAATGCATTAAGAGTCGTACTGGACAATGTGTTAACTCTGTTTTTCTCTCTCCACAGATGCTGCCAGGCTGCTGAGTTTCTCCAGCATTCTCTGTGTTTGCATCAGATTTGCAGCATCTGCAATATTTTACTTTTATTATTGTGCATTAAGTAGGGAAAGGGAAAACCGATTCTAAATGAGTGAAAAGCAAATTTAGGACTGATACAAGAAAATGATTTGTCACAAAAGGTGATTGTATATGGAATGGACTTCTAGAAGGAATCATTTATAAACAATTGGATTAATAGGGATAACTAAAGGACATTTCTCAGTGAATGAATCAAGGTCAATTGAAAGGCAACCCTCAGCTGTAGATTCTCCAAACCTATTCACTCAGTGCTCATTGTGTTTCCCCCCACTTAATGTATAATATTTGAAATGTTCTCCTTCAAAAATACACCAAAAAAGTGCAAACTGCCAGGAAATTTCCACTTACACACAGCACTTTATGTTTGTTCCAATACCTACAAGCGTCAACCAATATCACAGATTGATACGGCACACTGTTGTTCAAAAGTTAATTCCTGGCTGCAAGCCAAATTGCTTCCACAGAGGATTCATTTAACCTGCACAGTGCCTACAGAAAAATCATTTGTTATCCTTTCCGGTTGGCAGCAACACCTCCCGAACAGAGACAGGGTGACAATCGCCACTTAATCTGCAGGTATGTTTCAAATAGCAGAAATGAAAGAAGTATTCAAATCACTTTCAAAATACAGGTTGAAAAGAAGATGATATTGTCCAGTGTGTAAAACACACAAAAGAGAACGTATCATTTTAAATACATTAGCTGCATAAAGAAACTGAGGGTATTGGTGCTAAGTTTGGACATGACACAAAGGTAGGTGGAGGGGCAGGTAGTGTTGAAGTAGTTCAGAGACTGCAGAAGGACTTTTATAGGCTAGGAAAGTGGGCAATGAAGTGGCAGATGGAATACAAATGTGGGTAAGTGTGAGGTTAGATACTCTGATAAGAATAGAGGCGCAGACTATTTTCTCAATTTTCTCAACCTGGAAAGGCTTCTGACATCTGCAGCACAAAGGGACTTAGGAGTCCTGCTTCAGGATTATCTTAAGGTTAACATGCATGTTCAGTTGGCAGTTAGGAAGGCGAATACAATGTTAGCATTCATTTCAAAGGGACTAGAACACAAGAGCAACAATGTACTGCTGAGGCTGCTTAAGGCAGTGGTCAAACCAATGTGCTGGCCTTGGAGGGTATCTGGAGGAGGTTCACAAGATTGATCGCAGGAATGAAAGACTCACCATATGATGAGCAGTTGAGGCCTCTGGGTCTGTATTTGAGGGTGTTTAGAAGAATGGGAGGGAGTGTTTCCATTAGTCGGAGACTAAGAGCCGAGGCACATCTCAGAGTGAAAGGACAACCCTTTAGAACTGAGATGAGGAAAAATTTCTTCACCCAGAGGGTAGCGAAACTGTAGAACTCATTGCCGCAAAAGTCTGTAAAGGTCAAGTCATTGAATGTCTTTAAGGCAGAGATAGATAGGTTCTTGATTAACAAGAGGATTTAAGAGGTTGAAAAACATATTAGCCATGATCGAATGGTGGAGCAGACTCAATAGACCAAAACGCCTAACTCTGCTCGTATATCTTATGATTTTATCTCATCTTTTACACCCCTAGTCAACTACAATCTGTAGGTGCACAAGAACACCAAATGTTTGTATACCAGGTTAAGGAGGCGGCAGGATATTTTCTTTACTGATGGTGGTAGAGGTCTGCAATCACTACAAACATATAATAGAAAATGGATTCAAGTAACTGTTTGTTCATGAACCCTGATGTCTCCTTTGAAATTGTACCATTTTGTTTACACTGCCTCTCCACATTACACGTCACACATGCCTGCTTTAAATGGCGTCTGCCTGTTTCATCAGTCGATTTCCTCCAGAAGTTTGACAGCTTTGTGTCCTCTGCAAACTTTGAAACTACTTAGACCCAGGTCCACGTTATTTATACAAAAGAAAAACAATTCTCCTAATATCACATTTGGGCAATCAACTAAATACTTCAACTTCAACAACTGTCAATTCACCATGGCCTCTGACTCCTTTCCCTTGTTACATATACACGTTCTCAGCAACCCCTTGAAATCATGCATTTCTATTTTCCAAGTAAGTCCACTTTGTGGTATTGTAGCAAATGCCTTTTGGAAGACCACACTGTTTCTCCTACCTGGGGTATAATGGGCAATAAATGTTGGCCCTGCCAGCAAAGCTTATTAATGGTTTTGATTTTAAATCCTGCTACTTCAGACAAAAATTAGAAGAACATACAGGTAACAGAACAGACCTACAGAGGAAAAGAAAAACTAAACGCAATACCTGGAAGCTTATACCTGCAAAATCACGTAAG